AAAACACTCACCGTCACCTCACACCAGTACTCGCCCCACCGTGTGATAGGCTCTTCTGGTAACTTTAATGTATGTGGGGCGACCACAACACCAAGCTGCAAACAACAACAACTCAGTTCAAATGGACTCTCTCTTCCTGGCTGCCACTCTAGGTAAACTCATCAAGAGGGTTACAGAATTTCCTGTACTGGGGTGAATAAAACTGGGGTGCCTACTCTGGCTGATTCCATGGGAGAGGAGGGCATAGACCTTCATAGACGAAATTCAGTTCTGATCTCTTAGGGAGGTGGATTTACAAAGAGAAACAGGCCTTGAAGCCAAAACCACTTCATCCACAAAAGTAACAATCCTCCAGTGAGTAACAAATCCCCAGCATTTCCCTAGGTAGGCAGGAAATAAATGGAAACCACCACCTTCTCCTACCAGTCTTCAAATTCTATGTGAAACCCTTAGTCCTTAACCATTTTCCCTCCCATACTCCTGCAAATTAACCAAGAATACTTCCCCTAACCACAGCTGGATGATCACACCATTTCCTAACAAAGGGATCAATCCTGGGCCTCCTTCCCAGAGGTAGCTTCTACCTCAGGGGTAGAGTGGTTTTTGGGGACACTCACATTCTTGAAGAAGTGGCGGGCAACAATTTCAGGGTTCAGCTCCCATTTGACATTGTTCTTCATCCCTACCTCCAGGTGACAGCTTTTTAGAAATTTCACTGTCTGAAAGGAATTATGAGTTGGAGTCAAAGAAGAGGAAATATGTCAGCAAGAGTCACAAGGTATGCGAGCAGAGCATGGTGGCTCATGCCTGCAATCCCAGCACTTTGGGAGGCCAAGGTCAGTGGATCGCTTCAACCAAATGGCAAAACCCCCTCTCTACCAAAAGTACAAAATTTAGGCGGGCGTGGTGGTGGGCACCTGTACTTACTATCTTTTCATGTGTCTGTGTTCTCTCCAACTTGTATGTAAATATCTTTGAAGATAGAACCCTTATCTCAGACTATGCTGTGGGTTCCCTGATGCCCAGATTGGGACCTCCCTCGGTACTCTAGGGCACTTCACCCAATGCATCAGGGATCTCCCAAGAGGTTTCCATACCCGGTTTTACGGGGCAGCCACAGCACTTCCTCTTTCTCGTGTCTGCAATCAGGAGGCCTCAAGGGAATCAGGGAGACTCCCAGGGTGAGGTTGGTAAGTCTTGAAAGTGACCAATAAATACTTTTTACATTTCTACTCACCGCCTCACCTGCCTTGGTCTGGATCTTCTCTAATTTTCCTTCTTGTCTCAGCTAGAAAAGAAAGTTAAAGATGAAAAGCAGTAAAAGAAAAATGAGCTCATGTTAAATACTATCAAACTATTCCTATGCTGGGCATTGGCTGGGCTTCTGGATTCCTGTTCTTCTAATTCCTATTTCATTTTCAAGGTAAATATCAAAGGGAAGGAAGCTGCGAGCGAAAAGAAGTTTTATTTCTCCAAGTCTCTCTGTCCTTCCTTTAAGCTCACCAATTTCTCCTCTTCAAACAGCTTCTTGTTTTCAGGAGATGCATATACAGCCAGTCCCTGAGAAAGGAGTCGATTCCGGCCAAAAGATTTCTTCACTGAGACCAGGTCACCCCGGACTCCAATATCTGTCAGAACAGAGACGGGGGATTAGAACTATCTAGGAGTCCCTAAAGAAAAGATGATCAAAGAGAAAAGCACCTCTTGCTTTCTCACAGTGCTTATTTTTCCTAAAAGAAATGCTAATTCATATTCACTAGGAACAAGATTTAAGACACTATTAACCGGTTTATTTACGACTTGATGTATAAATTTAAGATCCCCTGTATAGAGGGAGGAGTTGTCCCATGAGAGGATTTCAGTAACGGTGGCACAAATTGTCAGGCCCCTCTCCCCACACACTTAATGAGGTTGCTGCCTTTATGTTTTAATTTTCAATGCTGGAGGCCAACGTCACAATCACAGTTTTTATGGCTTCCTCTTCTCACATATAGAGCTGATTATTTCCACAAAGAAAAACCAAGGCAAATAGTTGAGGGGAATGGGCAGGAAAAAGCTGATGCCAAACCCGACCAGCCTGAGAGGAGGCGCCTCGGCCCGGGCCTTACTCTCCACGGACTGCGTGAGGATGAGCTCCAGGTTTTCTTTGGGCCGATGCTTCGTGTCCTCCACCAGCTTATAGACGCGGTGTCGCCGGTGCAGGCGCGGCTTCCGGCCCTCCCCGGCCAGCGGTACCTTCCACCAGCGCTCCACGACGACCGTGTCCTGGTGGCCAGGAAAGCGTCGGTGTACTAGTCGCCACAAGGAACACCCTCTCCCTCCACCACTGCCGCCAGCCCAAGGAAAGCCCGCCACCCCCACGTCGGGACCTCCGGGTCCCGATGCACCCCCCAAAACAATACTCGATTGTATCTACCCCCTACTGCAGACAGCCCTCATTTTGAGAGAAGCTGAAGTCGCCCCTCATTTACCCGATTTTGAGAGAGGCTGAAGTCGCGCTCCAGGCCAGGGGTGTTCCCTTCATGTCGCGGCCGCAGTAACTCCCGGAGGCCTCCCCGCAGCAGCCGCTCCGCGCCCGCCCGCAGCAGAGCTCTGCCCGGGGCCGTGACAATGGGCGCCGCCATGTTCGCAGGCACAGAGGCAACGTGAGGGAGGGGCCCAGCGTTAGGAGGTAGGAAAGGCCCCGCCAGGGCTGCCTGCGGCGCGCCGGCACGGCTTTGGTCTGGCCCGAGACGGGGGATGGGGAGTGGGGAGTGGACGCGGACAGATGGCACCGCGGCTTGCCTGTTTTTTCTTTTTGGCCCCCGTGGGGGAGGAGCCCAGAATTACTGACTGATAATGGAATGAGTGTTGGTGGACTGACGCCAGAAAAGACGCTTTTCCTCTTTAAAGTGTGGGCTTTGCTTTAGCTCTAGCTGCTGTCTGAGGTAACTTAATTCTGACGTTCTGTGATGACAGGATACTGATGGGAGAATGATGCTCTCACTTTTTACTTCAAATCTACCTAAAAGTGTAAAGGATGGGATTCCTTGGAAAACTGCCAGCTCCGGGAAGAGCCTAGCCCTTAATCATTACACAGCAATATTTAAGCTAAAAAAGGAGAATTCGAAATCACAAGCTATGTAAGCCATAAAAAAAACGCAACTATGGTAGGGCCCCGACAGTACCCTCTGGGAAGGGTCTCAGTAATGGACAGAAGACCATAAAAACTGGATGAAAGGCGGTCCGTTTGGCAGGCAATATGGAAAGACTGGCCTTAAACATCCTGACCAGGCCTCCTTCCTCCTAAATACTCTTTACTTGGCCTCCACGACACCGGTCTTCTTCAGTGTCCTTTGCCGATTTCTCCTTTTTTCCCCGCTTCTTAGAATGCGCCGCCCCCCAAGCCAGGACTCCGTTTTTGGACCCTTACTCTTCTCAGTACATATTCACTGTTGATCTCATCCAGTCTCGTGGTTACAATACCATTTATACGCCAATGACTCCCGAATTTCTAGTTCCATCCTAGACATCTCCCAAACTCAAGTATTCAACTGCTTATCATTTTCCTCTGTCTAAAGGACACCTCAAAGTTAACATGTCCCAAACTAAACTCATTTATGCCCCCTCCCCCAAAATTGCCGTATCTGCAGCCTTTCTCTTCTCAGCGGATAAAACTCCATTGTTTCCATTCTTGGACTGACCTTAACTCTTTTTCTCTCATACTCCATCAGGAAATCTTGTGGGTTCTATCTACCTTTAAATTACAGATAGTCCCTGACTAGGATTTACAGTTTTTGAGTTTGTGATGGCGTGAAAGTCATGTACATTTAGTAGGACATCAATAAGTGACATGAAATACTCAATACTTTATTATAAAATAGGCTTTGTGTTAGATGATTTTACCCACTGTCGGCTAAGTTGTCTGAGCATGTTTAAGGTTGACTAGGCTAAGCTACGGTGTTTGTGTAAGGTCTTTTAGGCCGACTGTGCCATGGACAGCATGGTAACCTCTGTGAACTGCACATGCACTCCAGATGAGTTCCTGGAACGAGAAAGTCTGAAGTAACTGGAAAACCACAAAAGGAGAAGAAATGATCAACCCCTGTGGTGCCTAATTAACTCCAAGACATTCTTCTATTGTTCCTTATACCCGCCTCAACTGATAAGGCAATGGGATTTTATAACCGACCTTGGTCAACCTCGTGACTCCAGACCCTACAACCCCCTCCCAGCTTGTGACAACTGCCCTGAACTGTAACTTTTATAACTTTCTACTGCCTACCTCAAACCTATAAAACCAACTCATCCCACTGCCCTGTGCTCTCTTTTCAGACTCAGCCCGCCTACACCTCAGTGAATAAACAGCAATATTTCTTACACAAAGCCTGTTCAGAGGGGGTCTTTTCATTCAGAGTGCACATTTAACAGTTTGGTAGGTGTATTATATGCATTTTCAACTTATACTTTCAACATACGATGGGTTTATCAGGCCATAACCCTATTGTAAGTCAAGGAGCAAGTGTATTTCCAGAATCCAACCACTTGTCACCACCACCAATGCTCTGGAACCACTTTCTCCTGGATTACTGCAATAGTCCCCTAAAAGATCACCCTTAACTCTCTACAGTTTATCATTCTCTATCAATCACTTATTTATAGCAGCCAGAATGACGTTTTTAAAGCCTCAGTCAGATGTCATTCTGCCACCCAAAACTTTGTAATAACTTCCTTTACTCAGGGTAAAAGAAAAAGGCCATCAAAAAGGTCTACAAGGCCATATGCAATCTGACCCCATTAGCTCCTTCTCTATAGTTTACACTGCTTCACTCACAGTGGCCTCCTTGTTTCTTGAAAATACCAGGCACATTTCATGCTCAGGACTTCTCCATTAGCTGTTTTTGCATTGGATGCCGTTAGCCTCAGTTCAGGCGTTGGCTTAACAACTCCGCACCCTCCAAGTGTTTAATTAAATGCCACTTTTTTTTCAGTGAGAGATCATCCTATTTGTTACTGTAACCCTACCCATCCCCTTCACACTCCTGATCTTCCTTTATCTTGCTCTATTCCACCCACCCCACCCCAAAGCAGTTACCTTCTAACATACTAAATAATTTACTATGTTTATTTTCTAGGTTTGTCCTCTTTTAGAAGATTTGTCCCATAGGGCGGATTTGTTTTGTTCATTGATGTATCTCAAGCACCTAGAATAGTGTGGCTCATAGACCTTCGATAAATATTTGAATGGAAAAATATGCAGATGTCTCAAACTGGCAGCCCCAGAACCAAATCAACAATTTTTCTAGTAGTCGATATTTTTTAAAGTTGGAGAGATTCACTACAAAACTGTCTTTCCAGTTTCTGTTGAAAAATCGTACGATACAGCACCATAAATTCTGCATTCCTGCATGGAACTGGATGGAATTACATTGTATGGACTTCTTTGAGATAAGGTGTGAGCTTTCCCATTTTGCTACAGCCTCACATTGCAATTCCACTAATTTCCATAGGCTGTCTAGGTCCCTGAAGGCATTTAGTTTGGAATTCTCATCCTACAAGGGTTCAACAATCTGTAGCAACCCTGGGTTATTAAGGATAGGAATGGTAATAAAAATACTCAGATGGTAGGAGCTGGGAACCAACTAATCAGGTCACCACTGGATCAGAGCCTTGGAAGACTCCTGCAGTGTCAGATACCAACTCTTTAGTTGCTGGATTTTAGGGGAAGGGGAGTGTCCCCAGAGGAGCAGGGTGGGTAGGCACAAGTGCTCAGGCAGGGCTGTTTGCCACCCAGCATAGAAGTCTTCAAGTTCTATTTTTTATTCATACAGCCATAATGTGCATACTAGTTGAATATGAGCCTTGGATAAAGATTAAGGTAGGGTAGGAGAGCAGCAGGAGTCCTGAGGTGACATAAGGGCTGACCCTTTTGTCTATGTCATAATGCCATCCAGGTCACAATGACACCAGGTTGCCTAAATCTCTGCCACTCACCACTGAACCTCACTTTGCCACAGGGAGGCACTGAACTGAAAAACTGCCTCGTAACAGGTGGCGCCCCTCCGTCTACTCCCTTTCTTATATCAAGAGGGGAAAAACACGAAACTACCTCTACCCAATCTGGTCACCATACGCCTATTACCTTTACTGTTACAAGTACCGGATCACCCTCCGGGAGAAGATGCTGCCTTGTTGTTATAAAAGGTACTTGTGTTCATCTCTATTTGTAGTTGATTATATAAAATGTAAGGAAAAAGTAAAAGAATTTGAAAGAATTTCCCAAATGGCAAGAAATAACAGCGGAATAGGGGGTGGAAAGCTGGCATGAAACCTTTACAATTTTTCCATCTGGCTGGCCCAGGAACATGGAAACAGGCTGGACAACAGAAAATACACAAGATCATACCAGAGCCTGGTCCTGTGTATCTAGAAGTTATGTCTTCCCACCTCGATTCCAACATAAACTATTTTGGGTCTCTTTCCCAACCAGCATCACTTATAAGGAAGAGGAGGACCTGACACTCCAGCCCCGTTCCTGCCTCCAGTGCTCCTGAGTCCCCAGTAGGCCTCCAGGTGGGCAAAAGCACCGAGCAGAGTAACCACAACCAGCTTAAAGAACTGTATTCGGTAAGTGGACTGAACTGGTGCTGTGACAGGGCAGCCTTTTGCTTGCTGTAATGATACCTGGCAAAGGGACATCAGCAAGTTGAAAGATGAATTATAGACAGAGGTAGATGGGACCTTGGAATGCATGTGTAAAAGCTATTTGTTATATGGACAAGGATTCTGGCCCACAGGCTGTAAATCAAGGTCATACAGGTGGTAGTGAAAATCACGGTAGGAAAAGAGGGAGTGGGGACAAAGGTAGAACAAACTCTATAGGACTTCTGGGACCTAAAGCCGTTCAGATGCTAAGCAGGATCTGGGATCCAGAACTTGCGCACGTATCATATTGCAGTTAACAAGTCTGGTTATAACCACGGCATTTTAAATAGAAGACTTTAGAGAAAACCCATATAATGAAAAAAGTAGAAATTATTAGTGAGAAAGGAAGCACATTATAAAGCTTTGTTTTAATCCTAAACTCTCTGATGTAAACATTTCCAAGTTCCTAAATGGTTACTGTACTCCTGGAATGAAGTCAGCATGCAGTAATACTGCCTTAACTGGACTGTTTGATATATAGGAGAACTCTATAATAGGCATAGATTATTAGTTCCTAGGACTAAGGGATATTACTGCATCTTTAAGATCCTGGCTCCAATTCTTCCAGGCTTCCACCATCAACGCCCACTTTGCTTCAATGGACACACCCAAATCTTCCTGAAGTCTAATTTAAAGACTAGATGAGCATTTTTACTCCTTTTCCAGGCTGGAAACTTGACGGTGCTAGCTACTGACCCCCTGCTCCACCAGGACCCAGTACAGTTAGACTTTCACTTCCGCCTCACTTCCCAGACCTCTGCTCATTGGCACGGCCTTCTCTGTGACCATCGACTCTTCCTGGATATCCCATATCGGGCCCTGGACCAAGGCAACCGAGAAAGGTGACTGACCCTGGATGGGAGAATGGGGAGGGAAGGATAGGGGATTTCACCCATCTTATTGTGTCACAGTACATAGGGCTGATTCTGGAGCTGGATATAAGAAATTCATTCACTGGGCATGCAGATAAGCCTGTGAACTGAGCCAGGATCCGGGGTTCAAGGGATAAGAGTCCATGGGAAGTTGAACTCAGATCCAGAAATGGCTGAATAATGGGAAGTGCTTTCTAGCTGCTCATCTCAGTAGTCCTTTCTCCTCAGATCCCTACTGTGGCTTACATCAGTGGTGTGCAATCTCTTGGCTTCAGAGAAAAATCTCCCAAAACTAGTTTAGCAACTTTCATTCCCAGCTTGGGTGGGTGGAGGGTAGAAAATGACCAATAAGATTTTTTTCTGCTCCAGGTAGGTGTCTTTCTGGATTCTGAGTTGGCCAAACATTTCCTTAACTGTTTTTCTGTGGCTCTTAGTTTGACTGCAACGCTGGAGTTCGTGGAAGAGAAGACAAATGTGGACTCAGTGTTTGTGAACTTCCAGAATGATCGGAGCGACAGAGGTGGGGAATCTGCTGTTATTCCTTGCTCTTCGAGCTGAGGCAGCTGGATCACTCCTATTCCTTTATAGGAGACCCTCTTCTTCCGCTCATCTTTAAATATGCACCCTTGGGCATTTCAGGGATTCTTTTCTTCCCACCCACCACAAAGGAAGTTAAAGTGTCTAGCATTCTTTTCCATTAAGTTACAATTGAACTCTCAAGAAGCCCCTGCAGGGGGTGTTAGAGGCCAGACTAAAGGAGCACTGTTGAAATTACAAAGAATCCATTCAAGGGATGTGGTCAGCAGGACAAAATGGATGTCAAATATACTGAGCACCTACAATGTGAAAGGGTCAGACATAAGGCAAAGGGAACGGGAACATATTTAAGCAGATGCCTGGAGCATATGTTACAGAAACTATAGCCTCTTGCCTCAAGGAGTTCAAACTCTCCTAGATACAAGGGATGAATAACCATTCATAAGTAATAGATACTATTTCAGAGCTTACTATGCCATCATTGTATTAGGATATAGACTTCACTAATCTCTAGTGGTAAGCACTTCATGAACATCTCATTTAATCTTAAATTCTGTGAGGAAGGAAGCTTCTATGATTTGTAAATGGAAAATTTTATAAATGGAAAACTGAAGTTCTGAGGGGCTACAAGTGTTAAAGCCAGGGTTAGAGCTTAGGTCTGTTTGACTACAGCACATCCTATGTGCCTGCATTACACTGCTTCCCAGGGCCACTCCCTAGTGGAAGAAATCAAATCTGGGGACATATGTGTATTGAGTTTTAAAGCATGTTCTGATCATTTGTTCTATTCTTCCACAGGTGCCCTGCTGCGGGCCTTCAGCTACATGGGCTTTGAGGTGGTCAGACCAGGTCACCCTGCCCTCCCTCCCTGGGACAATGTCATCTTTATGGTGTATCCCCTTGAAAGGGATGTTGGCCACCTGGCCCAGTGAGCCTCCCTGAACATGCTTATTCCAACGCTTTGAGGGGCTGGAAGCCTTGACACATGGGAATCAGGGGCCTGGGATGTGATTCCGGACACCTTCCATCCTAGGAATAAAGGGCAGTGCAATCATCAAGTGTTCACTGTTTCTTGGGGGGATAATAGGGTTGGCTGGAGTGGGACAAACACCTTACAAAGCTGAATTCACTGAAAAGATCACAGAAGACCTGAACTAGAGAGGGAAAGTACCCAAGGATTTTCGGTTCCCTTTGCCTTCCTCCATGCCCCAAACCATTTCCCCATTTATTCTAACCATTTACTGATCAATCAGTGAACTCCCTAGTTCAGAAAGACTAAGCTTTGTTGGGCTGTTTTTATTCATATATTTCAGTAGAGGTGCTGTAGATGTGGAGAAAACCCTAGAAGGCACATAGATCCCTTGGCTTTGGCCCAAGGTGGGGATCTCAAAAGACAGAACAATAGGTAACATAGAAGAGGGCATTCCAGGAGCAGGAAAATTACTGGGCTGTACTGACAGAAAGGGATGTAAACAGGTAAGACTTAAAGGCATATTAAAGACACTTATACATAGTAAACCCTAGGTAGGAATGAGACATTACTCATTTTCCAGATTAGGAAGTCTTATGAATGATTATATCAGGGACCTCTATCCTTAAGAGTAAAGGTTCCCTAAGGAACTATGGAAACTGGGGACTAAATAGCCTCATGACCCTGTATGGTAGCACCAATTCCAGGGCTGAGCATGCTTCAACAAGTTCACTGCAGCCAACGTCTGAAACATCAAATAAATGGAAGCCCCTTAAAGATTCCTCCAAGACTACATGAGCTACTCACCAGAGCTGTTCCTTCACTAGAGCCTTTCTGCTAATCGGTACTGAGATTTTTCTATTTTCTTTTTTTGGAGACAGTGTCTTATTTTGTCACACAGGCTGGAGTACAGTGGTGCCATCTCAGCTCTCTCACTGCAACCTCTGCTTCCCCGGGCTCAAGCGATCCTTCCACCTCAGCCTCTCGAGTAGCTGGGACCACAGGCACACATCACCAACCCTGGCTCATTTTTTTGTATTTTTGTTAGAAATGGAGTTTCACCATGGTGCCAGGCAGGTCTGCCTCAGCCTCCCAAAGTGTTAGGATTATAGGTGTGAGCTACTAGTGCCTGGCTAATACTGAGATTTTTCTGAGAAAATAAATTTTGAGAATTGTGGTTGTGAGAAAATTTCCATGTAGTATACAGGTAGATCTCACTAATCCCCAAATTAAAAAAAAAAAAAAAATCTTATGTACTAATATTAAGTTTTCTAGTTTATCTTGTTTTATCCTTTAAAAAGTTCATTTCACTTGCCATTTTTTTTTTTT